TTCATCGATCTTTCTTTTCAATCCTCGCTTCGTGAACCCACCATTACGGTAAACGATATTAAAACATCAACCTCTGAAGCGAAATTGCCGACACTTGAGATGACGCGTACTTTTCTACCCTCTTCTACCTCTCCATACTCTTTCACAAACGAGTCCCAAAAACTCGTTTAACGAAGCAGCAAAGTTGCCCGAAACTCGTATTCATTACGAAAAAGTAATTTTTCCAGAGGTAGAGATAAAAATAGTAGAGAAGGGGAGCAACGAACCGTGGCCAACCGACCAATTATCAATTAATCTTCGTTACAGCCTTCCGCATTCTTGCAGATGGCTCCTCCTCGCGATGGAAAACAACCGGGCCCCCAAGAAGCGCGCAGTCAGTTTCGAAAGTTAGTTTCGAAAGAGGTGTAGAGAGAAGTAAGAAGAATGAGGTTTAGGGGTGGTTGGGAGGGAGGGGGGAAGCGTAAAGGGTGTTGCCAAGCGTGTTGGAGGCGAGCCCTCCCGGTTCGTCTCCCTTGAAAAGCTTAAATCGGCTTCATATCTCAGCCCCTGGAACCCTCTTGGTATCTCTAATCAGATCATTAAGCCCGCGGAGCGTGCGCATGAAGAAATTTGTCGTGAAACGGCAAACCCTCCTCGTCCTCCGTTCCGCGAAGGAAATGGATAATCGAATCAACATCGAAGCGAGAGGAGGAGGGGAGGGGGGTCGCGACTTTTTCCGCTTTGACCTTCCGTAAACGTGCACGCTTGCGGATAAACCTCTCCGGCTACACTCCGGCGAATTATTAGGTTATAGAAGCGGGGATGCTTCTCTAAAGTGGATGGCCAAATTTGGCGAGATTCCGTCTCCCTTGCGTATATTTTAACTTGATCTTTTATTTCGTAGTTTTATAATTTTCTACATTATTTTTTCTTACATCTTCTCTTTTCTTCTTCTTTTTTTTTTTTTTTTTTTTTAGGTATTTGGAAGATATGAATAATTGGAACGTTGAATTTTAAAAGTATCGAATTCACTTTCCATTTGTGATTGAAATTTTTTTCGGTTATAAACAAGATTGTTTCCACGACAGATGGTTTCGAAATTGAGCCTCGCTGAACGGGGGTGGAAAGTACGGTGGCGGAATACAATGGCAACTGTCTTCCAAATGAGGGGCCATTTTTTACTCGCGACGCAGCTGTGACAACATGTTCCACAACCGTATCCATTACCTTCCCCCTTTGTAACAATTTCTCACCTCTGCAATCATAACGATAACATCGATACTCCAGCGATCATTTAAATTTACAAACCATTTAACCGTAATGGAACCGCGTGCAACAAAGGATACATTTTTCACACGT